TATGGTTTTGTTTGTAGACAACTATAATTTTTACAAAATGTTCCTTGGGCCTAAAGAGAAGAATGTGCAGTTTCTATTCCAAGAGGTACAAAAATGAAGTGTGTATGCATGTATACATACCTACACACATATATAGTTGATATTCTATATTTTTTGTTTTACTTAATTTATTAAATTCTGAAAGTGGTATATTCATATTCTCCACTATAAGAGTTAGATTATTTAACCAAGTCTGAGAATCTTACCTTTCATAGAGAATTAACATTTTTAATAACTGATATTTGGTTTTATGTCTTCCGTTATAATTTTGTCTACTTTTCTTCTTTAATTCTATTAATATTTCTTTCCTATTCTGTTTATTTTCCTGTTTTTAAAAGTTTTAAATATTTTCCTATCAATTAAAAATATACTCTCTACACCTTCAACCAATTCGAGACATTTAGAATGTTTTTCCTCCTTTAGTACACTCAAATCAATTCCTGCTCCCAGCCAAGGAAAGCCCTTTAGAATTTTACTTACCTACTTCCTCCTTCTCCACCTCCTGAGTTTTTGGGAAATAATTTACCACTCTTTGTTATTAGGCTTTCCCTATTAGTACACATCTTTTTAAAGAATTTGTAAACACAATTACATTATTATTTATATTTTTTACTAGATTCATCATTCCCTAACTTGACATCTTTGTTTTGGTTTAGTTTTAATTTAGCAAAGGTATTTCCTCAAAAGGGTACCTGGGGACATATATTTCTAAATTACAAGTCCAGAAATGTCTTCTGCCTTCATATATTGAATAAAAATATTAGTTGGAAGAGGATTTTTAGATTTTGTCTTTTCCATCAAATCTATAAGTATTCCAGCTTTCATTGTAGAAAATTAATTTTCTTTCCTTTGTAAACATGCTGGTTTAGCTGAGAGCGTAAGATGTTTAACATTTAAACTCAGAAATTTCACCAGATTTCGGTTAGGTGAGAGTAATTTTTTCCTAATAATGCTGCCTAGCACTCAACAAACCACTTCAATCTACAAATTCAAGTCTTTATTCAGTTATTGTCTTTAGCTGTCTTCTCCTCCAGAAAAGCCTCTTAACATACTGATTTCCAGCAGTGTGCATTCTTTTATATTCTCTATACAATTGTAGAATATGGCAATCTTTCAAGTTTCAGAAATTTCCCCCTCTAGTTTCATCTCTTTAGAATTTTCATTAAAATTCAAATAGAGTTCTCCTGTTTCTTTCATCAATCCACCCCAACAGATACTTTTTCTTATTCCATTAAACTCTACTTGGAAGCCTTAACAACTTTATTTGCATATGTATGTATATATAAAAGCAGAAAAAATCAGTTGCCATTGAGTCAACTCCGACTCATGGCAACCCCAGGTGCGTCAGAATAGAACTGTGTTCCATAGGGTTTTTAATGGCTGCTTTTGGGAAAGCAGATCGCCAGGCCCTTCTTCAGAGGCAGATCTGAGTTGACTAAAACCTCCAACTTTTTGGTTAGCAGCAGACTGCATGGGCCTCCATCTTCCACTTAGAAGTTTGTGAGAAGTACTGAATTTTTTGTTTTAATGTTTGACAGTATAAAGTGATGACTAAAAGCATGAGCTATGAAATCAGGCTACCCTTCTGAGTGACCATGGGCAAGTTATTTAACACCTCTATGTCTGATGGAATCGACTTTATGGCAACGGGTTACTATGTCTGTTTGGCACAGTAGTTAACTGCTCAGCTGCTGATCAAAAGGACGGGGGTTCAAAGATGTAGCAGTCTGCTTCCGTAAAGATTACTGCCTTGGTAACCCTATGGGGCAGTTCTACTCTGTCCTAAAGGGTCGCTATGAGTCGGAATTGACTAGATGGCAAGTGGTTTGGTATTTTGGTTTTATGTCTGTTTATCTGTAAAATGGGTAATAATCATAGAGTCTGGCACATAACAAACAGTATTATCTATCTTGGTGCTTTTTAAACATTTACAGCAGGTAAAGATCACTAGAGCAAGGGATAAGTAAAAATCACTGGTTCTAGGAAGTACCCCAGAAAGCATGGCCCCTGGATTCTCTATCAGCCCAGAACTAAAACAATTTCCGAGGCCAACTCTTCAGATAGGGATTGGACTGGACTGTGGGACATAAAGTGATACTCGTGAGGGTAGATACATGGGACTAAATGGGCAGCTTCTGTCCGGAGGTGAGATGGGAAGGCAGAGAGGGTTAGGAGCTGGTTGAATGGATATGGGGAATCGGGGTGGAAAGGAGGAGTGTGCTGTCACCGTATGGGGAGAGCAATTAGGGTCACATAACAATGTATGTACAAATTTTTGTATGGGAGACGAACCTGAAATGTAAACTTCATTTAAACTACAAGAATAAAAAAAACTTTTTGTAAAGTATCAAAAGAAAGTATCAAGTAAAAAAAAAAACCGATATAAAAGACAAGAAGCAGAGACAATCTGAACCCTCTAAATATGAGTCGGAATCAACTCAACAGCAATAGGTTTTTTCTTTTTTAAACCTGCACCATCTAATATGGTAGCCACTAGCTACATGGGGCTAGCTAAATTTCAATTAATTTAAATTAAATACAAATTAAAAATGTAGTTCTTCAGTCGCACTAGCTATGTTTCAAACACTCAAAAGCCACAAGTGGTCAGTAGCTACCTTATTGGACAGCACTGCTCTAAACTTTAATCTTGCACCTGAGTCAGAAGAAGTAGGTTTAAATCTCAGATATGCCACTAACTGTGCCACCTACAGGATCATGTATATGTCACTAAATCACAGGCAGCACAATATAAAGGTTAAGAGCACACAGTATCTGGGCTAACTGGATTTGAATTCCAGCTCTTACTAGCTATGTAACACTGGGCAAATTACTTAACATCTCTCATTTGTTATCTTCATTTTACAATATTACCTACCTCCAAAAGGTGGTAAGAGAGGGTAAAAGGTTAAATTAGTTAATACTTGTAAAACCACTTAGAACAATGCTGTGTAAGTATTTACTGAATAAACACATAAATTTCTCAAGCTCAAATTTACTCAATCTCAAAATGGATAAGATAAAATTTGCTCTGTCTACCTCACAGGTTGTGGTGATAATGAATACAAAAATATTTTGTAAATTACAAGATGTAATTTAGGGACAGGGCTCTTATTTTCACCTTCTTTAATCTCCCACCATATCCATGAAACTGCTGTGGTAACTGAATATTTTATGAATGTTTATATTTTCACTAAAACTAGAGTCATAAAGGATGAACCTGAATAAGCTGCAGAGTACTTACTCGTGGAAAAGCCTGCTGTAAACTTAACCAAAAAAAATCTTTTGCTGATTGTGATTTGTAATGACCCTATAGGACAGAGTAGAACTGCCCCATAGAGTTTCAAAGGAGCGGCTGGTGGATTCGAACTGCTGACCTTTTGGTTAGCAGCTGAGCTCTTAACCACTGCGCCACCAGGGCTCCGCTATAAACTTACTCGGTCCCAATAAGGGTAGAAATCATTTAGTTCAATTTGAGCCCTTAAGAAGCAATATACTATAATAAAAACGCCCAAGCTCCCAAGCCTTTAACCATTACAGCAAGTCTCCATTCCCCAACCCCCATCTCTTAAGAAACAAATATAATTCTTGGACACTGTCTACCTTTATTTGTGATAAATACTTACTGGTGAGAAATAGTTTTGTTCAAGTTCACAACCAACAAGTAACACAAAAAGACTAATCTGCCACAAATATGCTGTCTTTCACAGACCGGAAGCCTGAACACAAAATAGCACCCACCGGAGTCCCACTGAAAATCCTCACAGACCCTTTTCCTACTTGCAAACAAAATGCTGCGAATGAAATTTCAAAGGTTATTTAATGAAAATACAAACCAATACCTAATCACCTACTCATATGCAATCTGTGCCACCAGGGTACAAATTTAAACAGCACATATCAAAAGGGAATCTGTCTTCTGCCGAAATTAATGTCACAGGCTATGTTAAACCTTTCTCCAAGGCAAACTGGAAGCCAAATTCTTTCTAGAGTTTGGGGTTTCTGTAAGATGACAGGGTCACAAAATTAGGGAAAGCAAAACAGCAAAAGAAGGCAAAAAAGGATCCTTTTAGGAGTCACTAGAAAATACTAATGTTGGCTGCTGCAACAAATGTTTTGAAAACAAAACTTCACCACAAGCCTTATTTTTTGGGGTGGGGGATATAAGCACAAAGTATTAGGAATTACAAGGTAAGAGCAGAGTATCAAAGACTGTAAATTAGATGGGCTTTTTAAAGTTCACCTAGCTCCAAGTCCGCCTGGAGTAGACCCAGTACCCCAGGACAAAGGTACTAATACCCAGAACACGGGATACAATATAACTAAAAATAAGGAGTAGAGAAGGCGAAGAAATGGGAGAAAGGGCTCAGAAAGACAGAGGCCCGCTGACGGCTGCAGGGTGCTCCTGCAGGACGCTCGCGAGTCCGCTAGTTCCTCCACCCGCTTATGCCTCCCACCCCTCTCCACCGCCCCAGGCTTGGGCAAGAGCGCGCAAGCGCACCGCGTAGACGGTGCGCGTGGCGACGCGCAGGCGTAAAGTGGGCTGGAACAATGAGCTTTGTTGCCGAGGCGGCGCAGGGGTACAAGAGATAAGGTACGCGGATGGGGGTGGGGAGGGAAGAAAGGGTTTGGGAAGGGGTGAGGAGCTAAGAGAAACTGCTATCCCGACAACCCCTGCGCGCCACTGAAGACCCGGATAGAAATCTGCCAGAACCAAATCATAAATAATAATGACAATGAGAAAAAAAAACCCAGCCATTTCTAAGAGAAGAAAGAGAAGAAGTCGGCCCAACCTTGTCCCTCACACTCAGCGGAAAGGGGAAACAACAGAGGCTATACGGTGACGCGGTGGCTAACAATTTGCAAGGACCCTTTAGGCCCCTCAGGCGTCGCCGAGATGCTGTCCCTCGACCGCCGGGACCGCCGCACCCTTCTCGCTGCTCTGCCCGAAGGGACCCCCTCACCCAGTGCACGGCAGCGGGGACGGCAGCCAACGAATCCTGTCGGCCTCCACGGATCTCCACAGGCAGCGCCGCTCCCCCGCTCGACGTGCGCTTCGCCCGCCACCTCCCTTCTCCAGTCCAAACAAACACCGCAGCCCGGAAGTGACCTCACTTCCGCCGCCGGCCCCGCCCTCTCGTTCTGTCAGTGCTGCAGCCCGAGTCCGCTGGAGAGCGCGCGAGAGTACCCGCGACCCGAAAGATTTCTGCGTTCTGTGGGCTGCACACGTGTGCATGCGCCACGGCCTTCTCTGCAGGATATTCTAACAGCCCTGTTGTGTTCTCTCTGGGAGGCGGCAGTGGGGCGGGGCCAGTGTCCCAACATCCGCCCATCGAGAAGAATGGGGAATATGGAGACTGGAACAGATCTGTACTTTTACATATCCCAGTGGTTACCTCACACACACAGACACCAAGTAGGGACGTCTAGACAAGGACATGGAGCCCTGGTGGCGCAGTGGTTAAGAGTTTAACTGCTAACCAAAAGGTAGGCAGTTCGAATCCACCAGCCACTCTTTTGAAACCCTAGGAGGTAGTTCTACTTTGTCCTATAAAATCGCTGTGAGTCGGAATCTACTCGATGGCAAGGGGTAGACAACGACAGTGCACGCACACACCCAGACCCACACCCCCAAAATGAGTGTCACACTAAGTGACGTGTACCAAGTAACATCTAGAGATCCTGACACAGAAACATGATAAACATAATCAACTAAGACAAACTCACAGAGATATATACTGATTATCTACAAGCACCTGCCCTCAGACGCGTATGGGCACACAAACACAAAGCTGGACCTTCACACACAAACGCAAAATATGAATATATGGTTCCCAAGCAGCCTGTGTAAACCTTCTTTGTGGCTAAGGGAGGAAATGCCCTGTTTAGACAGGACAGGATGAGACCTTAGGGCCCATGACTTTCTTAGCCCATGGTCCTGGATGCAGTACACTCCATACGCTTATTACTCTTATTCATGCTTCTTTACTATCATTGGCAAGCTCCGAGTTACATTTTGAAGTGAAACTAAATGTACAGAATAGTGTAAGAAAATTGGATGTTTGAATATGTATACATGTATTAGAAGGGGGACACACAAAAACGAGTGATTTCTTGCCTCTTGGGAGGGAAAATGAAGGACTGGGAAACACGTAAGATTTATCCTTTATTGTAAACTCTCTTGTAACATTGGAATCTTTTTTAAAAATGTAAGAAAAAAAAAATTCTCTTCATGAGAAGGCTTGAATCCAGAAATAGGGCTACTTTTGTTTAGAACCATTTCATTCATTGAAAACCTGTTTTGGGTCAATTCCAAAGCCCCAGATAAAGAACACAGGTGATGTGCTCTAGTCCCCAAGTCTACCACTCTGGCACGATTTCATCTCATGTACTTTAGGCATGTTATCAGGAGGGACCAGTCCCCAGAGGACATCATGCTTGGTAGAGGGTCAGCGAAAGAGAAGACCCTCAACGAGATGGACTGACACAGTGGCTGCAACAATGGGATCAAGCATAGCAACGATGGTGAGGATGGCGCAGGACCGGGCAGTGTTTCTTTCTGTTGTACACAGGGTCGTTATGAGTCAGAACTGACTCGACAGCACCTAACAATATCCAAAACTTAGAGGAAAGGTTTGGTTTTGTTGCCCATTCTGAGATGATGCTATTAACAGTCTCTGGCGTATGTCACATTCAAGGGGTACAGGTGAGGTACGTGGGAGATAAACCCCAGAGGTTGGAAGACGCATGAAAAGGAGAGGAGACCAAAAATCAAAATATGTGGAATTTATATAATCCGTAGTTGATCCAGATACTTTTAAAAGCCAATAAAGAGATGAAAGGTACTTGTTATTTCATAACATACACCACTTGATTATAATGGTAGTATTGAAAAACAAAACTCTTAAGCCCTGGTTTATCTTAAACTGAGTATCTCAAAAGGTCTGCTTTCCCCCCCCCCCCATCCAAGGGGTTTAAGTTCACCATTGTGACTGAAAAGCTTGATGTGCCAAGATTTTCCTTGGCATCCTCTGGACAGAAGGATCCTCTTCCACTTGTGAAATGGAGTTCACAATACCCATGGTATCTTTTGATGGCAGTGATGGTCTATGAATGGAAAACACTGTCAATAGAGTGAAGGCTAGTCAACAATCTGCCAATGGTGAGGACTGAGACACTGCAATGGGACTAGCAGAGGCCCACAGTTTAAAAATACTAGAGATTCAATTGTTTGGTTCGTAGTAACAATTCTAAGTATTGGAGTAGGAATCAAGAGGATGGTAATGAATGGCCCAGGATGTCTGGGAATAGGCTCCCACTCTAAAACTCTTACTGCCTTCCTGGAGAGCTCTCACAAATTTTTATAAAAATGTAAAATGTGTATACCTTCTGACCCAAACACCACACATAGGAATCTAGCCAAAGAAATCTAGACATATGTAAAGGCATGTGAGGATACTCATAGCTATGTTATGAAGGCCAAAAAACCTAAAAGCCTGTAATAGAGAATTAAATTATGGTATGTTAGAATGATATCCACAATATAGCTTAAAAAATAGGCTGCAAAATAGCATGTATAATAGTCTAAAATTGTCTGTGTAAATACAGACATACATGGGTATAAATGCAAGTATATGAATGGTCACCAAAATGTTAATGCCATCTCTAGGTGGCCAAATTTCGATGAGACTTTACTAAATTCTGTATACTTTTCTGTATTGTTTGAATTCTCTATGAAAGCTTGAATTGCATTTACTTATAAATAAGGGGGAAAAAAACCACACACCCCAAATAAAATTTAACATAGGTTCCTAGTTTGGTTAATAGCCTTGTCCCCATGCTAGTTTCATGGTGAAGCTGGGCAGACAATGTACCCCAGCATTACTAAATGCTGAATAAGGGCCTAGCAGTGTGGGGATGAGCAAACGTCCCTGCTGTGAACGAATTTTAACAATTCAGATGAGAAGATAAACATTCAACAAACACTGAAAGCCCCCTATGTGCCAGCACTGTTCTATGCACTGATATGCAACAAGGCAGTAACTAGCAGTATCTTTTCTTGGAAGAGTCATGTCTGAGTGTCAGGCTTAAAAGTGGCCCAAGACTTAAAAGGGTAGAATTTGTATAGGTTAAGTAGACAGGTTAACTGGATCTAGGAACTAGGTAGATGTGTTTAAGAGAAAATGGAACAGAGACATTTGGTGCTTATGAGCAGCGGAAGCCACAACAGGAAAATGAATTAAGAGGTATTATTAAAGTCTTACTAACAACTTTACCAATAACCAACTTAAAAGGAAATCCCCTTCCATAAGCTTTCAAGACACCACACAAATTAGAAAGCATTCAGAAAAACAGGGTATAAATGTGGGAGTCCCTGTGGGCAGTGCAAAGTTAAAATGCTCACTCGCTAATGTAAACATTTGAGTCCACACAGATGTACCTCGAAAGGCTTGGTGCTCTACTTCCAAAAAATAAGACACTGAAAACCCTATGGAGCAAAGTTCTACTCTGACACACACGACAGCAACTGGTTTTGTCTTTATACAAGTGGAGCAAAAAAAAAAAAAAAAAACAGTCCATGTAACAAAGACTGTTGGTAGCTTCCAAGAAAGTAGCTGGGATCTTATTCAATTGCTAGACTTTTGATTATATGTAGCCAATTCTTTTTGTGGAAAAAACTCTCTCTTAAATCTTGAGTCAAACAGCCAATAATTAGGCATTACTTCTCAGTCAAGCAACTAGGAATTGGTCATGCTTTTGACCGGCAGGGCAATGAGTGAAACTCCTGCTGCTTTTGGTGTTGGTATATCCCCATTTGGATCAGGTCATGAGGCAACATCTCACCAACACTACCATGCATGAAACACAGTGCCATCACAGGTGATTAAAACCTGCACCCAATGTCAGTAATTTCTATCCCGTGTTATGTTTTGTGTACGATCTTCCTGAGGTGGAGGGGTTGACAGATGTTCATTGGCTTTTGTCTGTTAATAGTTGCCCTTTCCTTTAGTTTCCACTTTTACACTTTCATACTCCCTACTGTACATTCGAGTTCAGAGTTAAGTTGTATAAAAATTACATTAACTTTCTAAAGCTACAATTTAAAGTTCAAGAAACAGGGCTAAAAACTCAAATTCTTCAATAGTTTATTCTTTTAAAAATCATGTATTACCTCCTAACAGTCCTATTTTTTAAAATCTCATTTTTGTAATACTTCGACGGCATCTTTGTATATCGGACTTTTATCTAATTACTAGTGCTCCAAATGAGCTCTAGCCAGTTTCAACTATGAAATATTATCAACAGGTTGGATGCACCCAAGTGATAACAGGGTAGCCATTTCCCCTTTGCCATTCACTAAAAACTTCAACTAGCTGATATCAAGTTTGATCATGAAATCCTATGTTGTGATAGAGGTCCTCAATAGAAAAGAGAAACCTGGTCAGGCAAAACAGCTAACCCTCAAGACTTCACTTAACTTTCCTTGGAAGGTATGACTACGTGAAATACCCAGATAACTTCGAATTTTTCTTGTTTTCAGCAAAATATATAGAGAAGGATGGGTTTGGGCAATGCAATTATAGAGAAAAGCAGTACTTACAGGGCCCTAAAGCACATTTCTGCCATTGATTCATGGAAGAGAACTCTCCCCACCCCCTCAAAAAAAAGGCTTTGCATAAGGTGGGTCCTCAAGTGGGGATGATTTTCATGTTTTCCTTAGTTTTATGTTTGGAAAAAGAATATTGACACCATTCTTTAGGCAATAACTAAATCAGGACTCTGGTTACAAATAACATACTTCTACAGCTACAGTTAGAGCAATGATTCTCCAAATGTTTCTATTCTTGACATCATTACCTAGCAACTTGCTAAAAAATGCAAATTCTCCAGACCTATCCCAAATCTACTAAATCAGAAATTCTAGGAGTGGGATCCAGCAATGTTTTAACAGGCTTTTCAGGTAATTTTGATGCATGCTAACATCTGAGAACAACTGGTCTAAAGGAAAAGAATTCACACAATCATTTGCGCTCTACTGTTGATTCTAAGCATCTTGACTTTTCCCCGACATTCAAAGAACTTGAATCAGAGTGGACTAATTTTCC